TATACGTTTAGCAGACGTGAAGTTTATATGAAGGAGAAAAAATCGAAGTGCAAGTCTGATTCAAATGTCAGGGAATCCGACAATTTTGGAGCCAGGGAAAAGCAAAAATAGTCAAGGAAAGTCAAAGAATTTGAAAGTTAAGGAATTATAGCAACCCTATTTTAACTGCGTCAGTAAAACATGTTGAGGCTTTTAAAGAGTGGTTTTTCATGATCATTGGTTTTTTTTCAAAGAAACCCTCCATAAATTTATGATTCTACAAAATAAACATCCGAAGTAATTCTAGTTAAAAGTTCATGTTGGACCTCTCCTCTCGGCTCTTTCCACTGTGCGAAGTCTGAATGCCTGATGATCTGCTCACGATTCCAATCCGAATCGGCAAAAGCACTCATTGTCAGCTGACCGAGGTCCCGGCTCGCTTCGCCCCACACAAATCCCCTAATCATAGTCTGTCATTCCTTTCTCCTCCTCGCTTACGTAAAAAATAAAAACCGTGCGTTTGCATCGGGAATAGGCCGACTCTCTTTCTCATCTCCGACCAACGTATGCTTATTAGAGTGCGTATTGATGGAGTATCTAGAAGATACGGATAGAGTACCCATTCACGACTGTTGAAATTTAATGGAGCTCTTGCATGTGTCAGAAATTAGCAATTTTAGCCTTCATCCATGTGTAACATTTTGAGAGAAACTCGATGGTGCACTGGTCTGCCGTGATAGCGAAGAGAGCCGCAGGTGCAAAATTTTCGAAATCGAGTTTTCTTCAAAATTCGTCTGAACTCTTTTAGATGAAATTACTGAGACAGCTAAAACAGCAAAATTCATCCTAATTTAATGAAAACGAGACGTATGTAAAAACCGTAAGTGCACAAAAAATGACACTGTTTTTTTTTTCAAGACAGCCGTAGATGCATGAGAGCCAATGAAAACAGTGCTTTCCAGTAAAGTGCCGCCCTCTTCTGCCAATTTCTAACATGAAAATGTGTTTGTTGTGCGCCCAAAACGCAACCACGAAAGCATGCAGAAGATAGCACTTACGGCTGTCTTGCCTAACAATAACCTAGCATGAAAATGAAAAATACCCTTTTTATGTAATGGAAATAAAATCAGTCGATTTTTAATCATCCGTACGATTTCTAGGAGTCTTCCGGACGATTAGTGGCAATTTGACAAAGAACGGAGGCTTCTTTCAATAAAATGATCTTTTTAGAAGCTTCTGAGCTTTTTTTCTCAAAACTTCATTTTTGCACTTACGGCTCTCTTCGCTATCACGGCAGTGGTTTCTCTGAAATCAATTCCAAAGCTCAAATGATACTCTCGAAGTTGAGGCCGTAATGAAAGGAACACCCCACGCTACCCTGAAAGTCCACCTCTACATCAAGACTAACTCTATGCAAAGATAGGGAGCGACAATGGTTGCCATGTTTTCAGTTTTGGAGTCCCCAAACAAAGTGACAACCCTAATAGTGTATTTGCTCCCTATCTTTGCATAGAGAACTTTTCTTGATATAGAGGTATAGACTCCGAGGGTAGCGTGGGATATTCCTACCATCACGGCTTCAACTTGAAGAGCTTTTTGTGAGTTTTGAAGTTGATTCTAGGGAAAACCAGTGGCACTATCGTGTTTCTCACATTGTGTATTGGAATCGGTACTTCAATCGCAAAATCCTGACACATGTAGAGCTCCATTTTAGCCCCGAGTGACTTTGAAATGTTCAATATTGAACCTTATTCCGCGTCACGTAACTTTGGAACTAGAATGATTTGTCAACTGGTAACGTCACTCACGCGCTGACTTATTCCTGACATGATTTGCCGTGAAAACTAGGCACTTCGCTTACGCATGACTTATTCCTTTCGGACTCCGTGACGATTATTCGTGGGCTAAGAAGTTCACTCAAACGCTGACTTATTCCTCCAGGAATCCACGATGTTCATTCGTGAGCAAGGAAATCTATCCTCTGTAAAAGATACTCAAGGCATTTTAATCCGAAATCTGAATTTTCGGAGAGAAATTTGGTAACATTGAAATGTAGTTAAGTTCTTCAATGAGGGAAACGACGAATTGGAGGTATTTCTGCCAACGGAACTATGTGCATCAAGACATGAGCCCTGAGACCCATAAGAATATATGCATAACAGAGCTCTTGTCATAATACACATAGTTCCGTTTGACAGAAATACCTCCAATGGAGAATATGCATGCAAATTTTTATTGTTTCATCTGAAAGTGCTTAAAGAGCTGATTTCACAGTATTTTGTATACTTATTTCAATATGGGAAATATTTTAAAAATAGATTAAAAAATGAGAAAATGCACCGCCTAGTAACGTCATCTAACGGCATTTCCCATTTAAGCAGACGTATTTTAACAAATTAGATCATTTTGTCATATCTTCTCTAATTAATAATCGTTCAATTCATGAACCAAGGGTATCCTCGTGTTTAGTTCACTCAGTAAGTTTCCACTTAAACACGAAATTCATCAAACAGACACCTGCAAATTCTCTATTGAGGGTCTATAGTCTATACGCAAGCATACTATGGACGATAACCTGTTTGCTGATAGGCTCACCGAAATTGGCATTATCAGGAGTATGGGCACTTAGGCAGTCAAGCACCAATCGTGGTTTGATGGTCGCGTGCCTGGCCAGATGCAGGGCAGCCAACCTTTCTCCGACTAATTAGTTTATTCCCGGCTTCTATTTTTCCCCTCGCGGCGGTGGCGGTGCTCATAAAATCGTGCTCCAACTGAAAGAAATGCGGATGCAATTATTTCCGCGAACATCATCGATGGTCCGATGAAAGTTGCTGTTGAAGGAACCGATCGCACCGATCTGTGGTGGTGGCAGAGCAGCCAACAATCATTACGGCCATTTAACCAAACTCTTTTTCTAGAACAGCCCGGCAAATTTCCCCGTTGCCAGATTGGACCAGGGATCCAGAATCTCTCATTGACAATACGAAGCTTTTAAGATTTAATTTTTGAGGAACGTAACTCTCAATTGGACATATTTCTGTCAAACGGAACTATGTGCATAATGAAGTGAGCCCTGTTATGCATGTATTCTTATGGGTCTCAGGGCTCATGTCTAAATGCACATAGTTCTGTTTGGCAGAAATACGTCCAATGAAAAATACAAAATACAAAATATGAATCAAATTTAAAAATGGAACCTCTTTTTACTGTGCATTCTTCTATATCAGAGAAGAAAAAAAAACACTAAGAAGTGGCCCGAACTGTATGTAACAAGGTGAAGAAATGGTGCTGGGTCCACACCATGTCGCGGGGAAAACAAAGGCAAGAAATTACAAATAGTATAATTATTAGAGTCAAAAATAAATGTTTTAATTTATTGATTATTATAATGATTATTAATATTGATTATTTTTAATTATTAGATTATTTTTAAATTATTCAATATCTTTTTACTATTATTATAATTTTTTGAACCTCTTGGCTTTGATTTCCCCGCGAAATGGTGTGAACCCAGTATTGTTTCTCCACCTTGTTCTTCTATGGCTATATACAGAATGTAAATGTGTGCACCGAGAAAAAAACCTCGTGCGTGGGACCCGAGGTTTAGGTCATATGGATCTCTGAAGTTTTCAGATTGAGCATCTGAATACTTTAGGTCTAGCTGTCGAGGTTTGGATCACACATCTGAAACTTCAGTTCTTACATCTGAAGTACTTCAGATGTAAGAACCGAAGTTTTTCGGATGTGAAAACCGAAGTTTTTCGGATGTAAACATCGAAGTACTTCAGATGTAAGAACTGAAGTTTCAGATGTGTGATCCAAACTTCAGCAGCTGGACCTTAAGTGTTCGGATGCTCCATCCGAAAACTTCAGAAATCCACATGACCTAAACTTCGGGTCCCACGCTCGAAGTTTTTTTCTCCGTGTGGTATGTCCTATAATGAGTTTAGGCTTAATTTTGTAGTCGTTTAATATAATCGAGGACCCCGATCTCGAAATTCTCAAATTGGCAACCCTGTTTCCATGAAACTTGACCATTGCACGCAAGGCAGCATTCCAATGTACAGATGAGAAACGGCTTCTGTCGCTCATCTGATTTTCAAGTGTAATTTGTCTAGTGCGCGTCTTCTAAGCTGCAACCATCTTATAATCGCGTTTCAAGACCGGATATTGAATTTTCTTTTTTTTTTCAAACCGGATAGGTGATCACTGTAGTGACGCCGATAAACCCGTGAGTTTATCGGGTACGCGCGACCCATACCTGACCTGCAGAGTATCCTACTAATAGGAAGCGCAACAATTATTGACACGCACAGTACGATGTCTTAAAGGCAATTAAAATGCACTCATGGGTTGATTGTTGAACTTGATAGACAAAGCAACATACATAGGACACCAAAAGGAAATGGTACATGCAATCTTATTGGTCGGAAAGGGTGGTTTCAATAGACATGCAAAGGGAAACTTGATGAACTGATTGTAGGGTCTCTCATGGGGTGCCGTTAGTGTATATCTTATTTCCTTTGTCTACTGCAACAAACCGTCTCCACCAATAGAATCGCTCCATTTTCAGTTCGTCTTTCTTTTCTATTGCTTTGTCTGTCAATTTCAGTAACTAACCCGAATGGTGAGATTAATTGGTCTGAGTTCAGTGGGAAGGGCTCCATAGTGTCTACATATTATGTATACTCTAACTATTTTTCACTAATCGGACCGAGTTTTTCAGAAAAGCGCCAATCCACATTTTCGAAACAATTGAGTGAAGAATATTTTTGGGTTTCACTAGTAGTTTATTTTCTCTTGTCAAAATCTAAGAGTCAAAACAAAGAAACTAGTTTGTGGAAAGTGAGGCTGAAGTTAATTTTCTGCATTGAGCCTTTTGCATGGATAAAACTTGCGACCTCTTTTCCTCAGTTTCAACGTGGTGTGGGTTGGTTCTTTTCCGAGGAACTCGGTCCAATTTGTGTTGCTTTGTTTTGAGGATGATTTGTAATTGTGTGGTGTGTTGTGTTGTGTTGCAGGATGGTGTACCCGCACTACGATGTCTCATCGGCGGCGACGTGGGGGACATGCGGCGGGGCGTCGAGCAGCACCTCGGACTCGGGGGGTGGCGACATGAAGGGGTGCGGGGGCGGCGGTGGCGGTGGCGGGGGCNGGCGGGAGCGTGCGCTCGGTGCGGCTGAGCAAGCGCCACGGCTTCGGGGCGGCCCAGCCGAGTCTCGGCTTCTCCATCCGCGGCGGCCACGAGCACGGCACCGGCTTCTTCATCTCCGCCGTAGAGAACGGCTCCGAGGCACACTCCCAAGGACTCAAGGTAACTTCACCCACACGCCTCAATCCAAACTTCACGCACAATTTTCAATCCAAACTTCCGCACAGCGGCCTCATTGTTGAAATCTTGTGTTTGTCGGGTCGACACAGATGGTACACACGAAGAAAAAAACTTCATGCGTGGGACCCGAAGTTTAGGTCATACGGATCTCTCAAGTTTTCGGATCCGAACACTTAAGGTCCAACTGCTGAGGTTTTGATCACACGTCTTAAACTTCAGTTCTTACATCCGAAGTACTTCGGTTTCCACATCCGAAAAACTTCGGTTTTCACATCCGAAAAACTTCGGTTCTCACATCGGAAGTACTTCAGATGTAAGAACTGAGGTTTCAGATGTGTGATCCGAACCTCGACAGCTAGACATAAAGTGTTCAGATACTCAATCTGCCTAAATCATATGACCAATCATATGACCTAAACTTCGGGCCCTACGCACGAGGTTTTTTTCTCCGTGTAGGTTAAAAGGCGGAGCGTGATTGGTCGGCTATGTCTTATCGCTGCTTTGTCGTGCCTATATCAGGTTGAACTCACGACAAGCGAACGGCACCTCTTAAGTTTCCGACAGTACGTCGTCCAATCACCTGGCTATGGCACGATAAAGCAGCGATCACACATAGCCGACCAATCACGCTCTGCCATTCAACCTATGCCATCTTTTAAACTTTGTGAATTTTTCATTTTACCAGGTTGATAAATGAGTATTACCTGATTTATTTATTTTTTCTTCCTTTCCGCCTGAAGAAAGAGAAGCACAAAACAACCAGGAAGAAAAAATAAATAAATCAGGTAATATTATGCCATTTTTATCGTCTGGATAAACACAAAATTTCATCAATCCGGCTGCAGCTCATGATTGGAATGGGGCAGTTGAGCTGCACTCGCAGATTTGTGTTTTCATGCATGATTTTAGTAGATTAGCTATAAATCTTAACATCTGTCAAAACCGCAACTTTCTACGTTCAATATGAACCGAGATATCGCCCCTTGAAAAGTCGCGTTTTTGACGCCGTCCACCGCGGTTTCTTCCACACTGAAAAAAATGGTCATTCGGTGAGAGTCCATACTGCTTGGAAAATCTAAGATATGAACTGCTCGCACATACGGTCTGCCTTTCACTAGAGCAGAGATGTGCAGCGGCGTGGCGTGAAGAATCGATTATCGATGTCTCGCCATTTGAAGCTATGGCTAAGAATCGATTTTTAAGGTGTTCGCTGCGAACACCCTGATAATCGATCTTTTTTCATGGGTTTAAATGGCACAACAATCCATCTATCGCAATTCACGCCACGCCACTGGAGATGTGCCGTAAACATGTCGTGTATGGAAAAGCACGTGTATGAACTTACCGTTCGTATGGTATGGACGCCATACGATATAGACGCTGGGTCTATGAAGAGTGACGGCTAAAAAATGGTGAAATAACAGCAATAGACCTAAAGGTTGAAAGTGAATTGTACCGAGGGACCAATTGAAGAAATGATAGGAAAGAACGAAAAGATGGAATAGGATATGAGGTATTGAAGCGAGACAAGTGAAGAGCCGCAGCGACCCCCCAATTTGCCTTGGCTCGGAAAAAGGAGAGTGAGAAGAGAAAGATTTGAGGTGACTGCAAAATTGATTTAATGATCTGGAAGAGATCCTGCTTGGAGTTTTTATTTTTACCAGACTCAGAGTGAATCGGCTACTATCCGTGGATAGGAAACCTGAAGGGTTACCAGGCGTATAGTACACCGGCTACTGCAGTGAGCAGGAAAACCAGAAGGGTTTGAATATTGAGAGCTGTGTGCTATTGCACTTATTATTAATTCCAGATTCCGAAGAATTGGCTTCTCCAAGTTGGAGGTGGTATACAAACTGTATGAGTCCGAAATAGAGATGGCTTGAATGTGAATAATTTTGAATGCTTGAAAAGATGAATTTGCTTCGTTCTGTGTAATGATGACCGCTAATGCTTGACCTTGGTGCCAATATAACGGGAAACTGAACTTCGGTCTTGATCCAAAAAACGCCAATTTCTTGCTTAGCTCCTTAGGATGTTTCTTCAGCTGCTTGCTTGGCTTGATTTGACTTGATCCTTGTTGAGAGCTTGAGAGTGAGGTGCTTCTTGGTCGACTGCTGCATTCAGAGTAAATTAATTAGCGACTTGCGGGTATATTTATATGCAGATTTCCTTTGTGTGCGAATGCGGGAAACCAACTTGCTTGTGATTGGTCGGTTGGCGAAGCAAGAGTGAATTGGGCGGGAAAGCTGCCACTGACCGCTGAATTTGTATTGCGCGGGCTCTGTTGTGGCGAAGTTCAAATCTCGTGCGCCGCGGTGACTTGTGATTGGCTGCGGCAGGTACTGCGATTGCGCGCTGACTCGTCATTGGCGGCGGCGCTTGCGGGCTGCTGAACAAAGGATCTCATTACTGCGCGGTTGAAAGTTGACGTCTAGTGCAGAGTTGTTCGCCCGATCACCAAGGTTAAGCTACATTGATCGTAATGCTTGAAATGGAGACCGTTTGGGAACATCGCAATTTTACATCATTTTACACGTTTTAATTTTGTGAATTGGTCTGATATGAGTTGAGAATGCTGAGAAATTGATTTCTAGAATTTATTATAATTATTATTATTTTTTATAAAGGGGAAATCAGACAGTCTATACAGTATGGACTCAGAGTACATACTCTTCGCATGTAATATTTGTTCATACTAAAATGGCCTCTATCTCTATTCATAGGTCGGCATCAAATTTTTCATAGCCCGCATGTGGACCCGACCCATAATTTATGAAGCTTGAGTGCAAACATTTTTTTGGAGATTTGGAAGGTGGAAATTTTGTTTGAAGGTCCGGCAAAGGAAAAATAGTTAGGGAACTCAAAGAAGAAGAGATGATGGCAACATCGTGCATCTAAAATTAATTTAACTAGAAGGACCGCGACTAACGTCAGCGTCGGGTGATCATCGGGATTCAGTATGAGCTTTCCTTCCCATGCGTTAAAGTCTCCAAAGGTAGCACCCGCTCCCCGATCTTCCTGATGAATTTTCATAAAATGAAAGAAGAATTATCTCGGCAGTTTTGAAGAATTACCTTCGAGTAGTTTTCCATTTAAAATGCAGTATGATAGGAAGTCTGCAGTGTCGCAAAGCGGCTTACGTAGTTGCGGATTTCCATTGTCGGAATATGGGTATTTGAGCCCTGAAGTTCCAAGACAAACATTTTTAGGTTGCAGAAAACGTAGTTTAAAAAAATTGAAAAAAGTCAAGGGAAATTTTCCACGGGAAGATTACACCCTCCCTCCCCCATTTCGTCTGCATTCGTATATTTTCACAGATTCGGTCACAAATGTACGTATCGAAGGGTGTTTTGATTCTTACCCTGTTTAGTGATCTATTTCGTAACCAGGAAGGAGGCGAGAGTGACACGCAATTTCTCGCTCGCTGAGCGAAGGCGCCAATGCGGATAAAATTCTAAATATGCTCACAAAAAAGACAGGAATAAATCGTAACGTTTTCCCAAAAATCCGACAACACTGTTCTCCGGTTCTTCTCGCGTCATCGCTCATCCGATCTATTAATCATTTTTCGTCGCGAATAATGATAAGTTGACGGAAAGAGTTCGTTGTCTCTAGGTNGGGGGGGGGGGGGGGGGGGGGGAGTGAGGAGTAAAGGCGCGGAAATCTTTCGGTTTGACACCTCCGCGTCTACGTTTTCGATTTCATTTCAAACTTTCGCTCGGACCAAGCCTCCCCCCTCCCCCCTCCATCTTTAAACGACGTCCAGGGATCAGCAGAGATTTGAGCGATTCCTTCTCTTTTGAATCTCGCGGAAAGATCAGTCTGACCGCAACGAAGTTTTTTTTAGAGAGGAAACGTTGCATCTGCAACCTTATTCTCCTCTCCTTTTTCCCGTCCCTCACTCCCTCCCCCACTGCCATGCTAAGTAATAACGCTGTATGAGCATTCATGTGTTGCCCAATTTCCTCTCAGATGCGTTAGATCAATTCTGAACAAAATTCTTTGAATTATCGGGAGAAAAATACTTACAAATTTTCCAGAAAATTCATGATTTGTCAAGAGAGATTTGGCAACGTCTGAAGGCTCTTACGGTGTTTTTTCTTTGCACGACAGTATGATAGGTTTTTTTGGTTGAGGTCGCCAAGAATTCTATTGTGAAAGAAGCGAAGGAATGGATGAATTTACAATGAAATAATTTTAAATTTTTCAGATTTTTAATCGTTTGTGAGAGTCGCCGAATTTATACTGTGAGTTTGGGTAGTTCAGGAGACAACATTCATCCATTTGTGTTCCTCCATTTTTTTAGGCGAGGTTCCGACAAATTGAGGCGTTGGGTGGTAGAAACTACATGCGGTTGCTGTGGCTCAGAATTTTTACTGCTAATTCATATTTCTGAGATGGCACTTTTGGGTGAATTTTCTGACATTTTCGTTTTCAGCGGTTTCAGGACATTCCGTCAACGATTTTTTCTCCGGGCTCCTGTTTAGTCCAGTAATTTACGTTCACGCGTAAAGTAAGAAATAGTGACTTGGTTCAATGGTTATTTTTCAGTCCGTATGAAAAATTATATTGACAACATGGATTTAGAAAATTGAGAGAGGAGAAGGTGTTGTTATTGTAACTCATTTTTTAAATGAAATGTCACTTTCTTCTTTTGATTCATTATTCAAATTGTCATTGGTGAATATTTGGTTTTATTTCTATATTTAAAATTGTCGATTTAAAATATAATATACATGCCTTTTTTAAAATGATAATATTACTTCATTTTAAAAACGTTATACTTTTAAAACGCGTGGTAAATATTTTTAAAACCTTTTCCAAGCGATGGCATCGATATTAATCTCAATGAGCCGTACTTGTGTTGAAAGGAACAATACAAAAATGAAAAAGAGAGAAAAAAAACCAAGGAGGACGCAATATTTGGTTTTAACCCATTTTTAAATCGATCTTTTACAGTCAAACACGTCCAATTTTGCGCGTTTGGTTGTGAATACACCACGCTGCAGCACAGTAAAGGTACAAAATATAAAAAAAAATTAAAAAGCTGTGGAAATCATTAAATTACACACGGAACCACCTTAATATTTTAAAAATACACGTTATATTTTTCTTTAATACATATTTTTTTTTCATCAATTGAAATGAGAACAATCCGTGCAGAGCGTGCAAACATTTCAAAATCATGAGTTGAAAAACGCTGACTCCTCGAGATTAAATACTAGAGCCCAACACAGAATGCGCACCGGCGCCTACAAACCTAACGGGATACTTCCCGCGTTGCGCAATGCGTGAAGTATCCCACGTTAGGTTTGTAAGCGCCTATGCGCGTGTCACGCTGGTCGCCCACAAACCTAACAGGATACTTCCCGCGTTGCGCAATGCGTGAAGTATCCGTTAGGTTTGTAGGCGCCTATGCGCGTGTCACGCTGGTCGCCCAGCGAAGTCCGGAGTGCTACGGCGTTTCAAGCAACGATTTCGCATGTGTTGTACAGTACCATACGAGATTGAAGGCGCTCCAACGTATCAAGAATGACAAGCTTTCTTTAAGGGTGAAGAGCATTCCTTGCAAAAATAAATCTAGATACTACGTTAGAAAAAGAGAGCGATAATCTATAAAACTCACTTAGTCCTAGCATTCGTATTTAACAACGTTTAGCATAATTTTTGAATTTCATCAGAGAAAAATGCGACTCGATTCAGGCAGAAACATTCTTGAGTATACCGTTAAGAAGATTTTATTTTGAATCAAGAATAAAATAGCTGTATGAAAGAGGGTTTCTGCTTGATCTAAGTGACTATTCTTTTTATTTAAGCATCCTTTTTTCTGTAAACAGTCATTATTTTCTCTATTGATTTATAAGGAAATCTTCTCGGCGGTAAATTTGAGCATATTTCTGTTTGAATTAAGTAACTTTTTCCTGTAATTATGTTCAAAAATCATGCTAAACGTTACTGGATCCAGATGCTAGGACTTAGCAAGTTTTTCGATTACAGCTCTCTTTTTTCGTCGTCACTCGATGTAATTTGCGAGGGAACTTCGTGCTTTTGAAAGATGTCATCAATAATGATATGTTGGGGTGCCTTTAATCTTGTATAGTATACTGTTTGTATGATACCGACGCCAAAATTCTCAATTATATATTTGTTTCCGTTTGGCCAACCATATATACACAAAAAATGAGCAAACCCTCATTCTTCCAAGACATTATACATTTCATCCAAAAACGTCGTAAGCAAATGTTGTTTGTATTTACATGTTGACCAATTAACTTTGGGTCTCAATAATTGTTAAGTGGACCAAAACTCCCCTGCCGAAAAAACACTTGGACTTAAACTACTGGAAAAAACAAGTGCTTGGGCAAAAAATCGTTGACGGAATGTCCCATAACCTTTTCAGCATTGTAAAATCATATAGAAAATTCAGTTAAAGTTTCAACAAATTCCACACATTTGCTTTTATCATAGGCGTGGCGTGAATTGCGATGTATCGATTGTTATGCCATTGAAACCTATGGTAAAGAATCGATTATTAAGGTGTTCGCTACGAACACCCTGTTTATCGATCCTTTTCCATAGGTTTAAATGGCATTACAATCGATAAATCGCAAAGCACGCCACGCAACTCTAGTGGATGAAACTTTAGCGGACAGTGGTGTGGCGTGCTTGTGCTTTGCGATGTATCAATTGATCTGCATTTCAAACTAATGGAAAAGGATCGATATACAGGGTGTACGCAACAAACACGTTATAATCGATTCCTTACCACAGCTTCAAATGGGGAAACATCGATAATCGATCATTCATGCCTGGCCTCTGTTAGCGGAGATTCTGAAACACCGTAACTAAGTGCCCTTTCTTCACCCAACCCTTCAATCGAACCGTAATTGCATTTTGCAATTTGAAACTTTAAATTCTAGCCCCAGTTAAAAGCAACATATGTGTCATTAGTTTCCCTATGCACATAATTGAAGAAGAGCCAGAATTTATACTATATTGTTGCATATTGCACATTCTTTTTAACATTTCATCGGCACTACACAAATTATTTGATGAACATAAAACTTTTTTGAAAACCGATTATATACGATTATATAACGAGTATACAGTCGGTTTTCAAAAAAGCTTTAAGTTAATCAAATAACCAGAATTTATAGTTTCAAATTGCAAAATGCAGTCCAATTATGGTTCAACGAACCGTTTTTTTTAAATGTCAAGCAACATGTAACTTGAGACCATGAGGTAGGTATTTTTTGAGCTACAGCCCACAAGAATCGAACACTCTATGTTTGTAGACACGTAAACTTCAGAGCTCAACCAAATTTTTAGCCTGGTCTTTACGCGGCTGAATGGTTTCACTCTGAGCGAGTGTTTGATCGACTGGTGTCATGAGCTTTTGGGTTCTTTGTTGGCAGGTGGGCGACCAGATCATTCGGGTGAACGGATTTCCGGTCGAGGACGCCACCCATCGGGAACTCCTCCAACTCATTCAAAACCAAACCACCGTCAACCTCAAAGTTCGATGTAAGTATTAAGCAATCATTCAACCATCACCCATACTCTGCTCATTATTGAGAGGAAGTCGTTTTTGGGAGGGTTAGATTAAAATTGATTGAACTCTGTTTTGCGGATCTTTTTTAGCTCTGGATGTTTACTACGTATGGATTGCATTTTGCAAAAAGGAACCAAGAGCATTTCAATGTCGCTAAAATAATTGGACTGAGTTAAGCAGAAAGGAACCAACCCACATTTTGGAAAAAATTGAGTTATGAGTGGTTTTGAACTCAACCTTTGCTCTACCATCTATCGCCAAAAATTCGAAGGTTTTTTTGGAGCAAATTTTGCAGAAATTGAACTTGAAGTTTGTCTTTTACATTGAGTCTTATGGAGGAGCCGAACTTTAAACCTCTTTTTCTCGGTTCGATCCCGATGTGGCTTGGTTCCTTTCTGTTTAACTCCGTCCAATTGTGCAACCTTTTTTACCTTGCAAATATAAACTAATCATTTAGACAGGTTTTATTTTTTCTCCCAATAAACTATGAATTCAAGACGAAAATTACCTTTAAATTTAATTTTTTGCATGATTTCAGTAATGTTATTGCGAAGAATGTAAGTTGCACAATCCTAGCAACATTGGTATGCTCTTGGTTCCTTTTTGCAAAACGCAATCCATATAATTCGGAACCTAAGAGGCTAAAACTATCAGAAATGTGACGGCTTCCTGATTGTTGCACACATCAATCGTCCTGACATGTAAATAGAAAATAGTAATTTAGAAGAAGAAGCGCACTACAATGCTTTAGTTTACATCGTCAAAAATACTAAATACGAATAAAAATACATTCATTGCGAGTTTTGTAAATTTTTAGGTAAGTTTGCACCTACCGTAAAGCTTGTTAAAATCAGAGGCGGATCCAACAATTTGCCAACACCGGATTCTCTCCATTTGAACCTATGTTAAATAATCGATTCTTGTTGGAGCACCTGGCCCTTCCACGAATCGATACGTTTCCATAGGTTTAAATGGAGAAAAACAATGTTGCCAATTATCTGGATCCGTCAATGGTTATAAAATTGCTCACTTTTTCCTTCCGTATATGGAACTTCTTGCAGTGGCAAATCATGGTAATGCGCTTTCCCGTGCGAGATTGTACATTATTATTTTATTTGTACGTGTCACAACTAATGACGTGTGCAACAATCAGAAGCACGTCATATTTTTGACTGTTTTAGCCTCTTCTGTTTCGGATTATATGTAGTAACATCTAAAGTTAAAAAAGTCCGTAAAATAGAGTTCAATCGATTTGAATTGACTCCTCCCAAAAATGAGACCTTTTTCTTCCGTATTTTGAACATTTTGCGGTGACAAATCATGGTTATCTCTCGCAAAAATCCATTTCTAAAGTCATGCTCCTGAATTTTACTCGAGGTTGGGACAAATTGGACGTATTTATGCTAAAAGGAACTATGTGCATAGGGTTTGCGTGCAACAGTGTAACATAGTTCCTTTTAGCATAAATACGTCCAATTGTATGTTTTATGCTACTATTTTGATGGCTTCTTTTAACATCCTCTAAACACAGTGTAAACCAAATGGGGTCTCCTATATAGAAGAAAGCTGTTAAGGGTACGACGAATAGGACCCTAACTTATGAAATAAAAATTCCGAGAAAATCGTGCTGTGGATTACGGAATCGCTCTACAGTCCCGAGAGCACTCACGTCTGGCGCTGGGCCCCGGATCTGCCGAGGCTGGAACGAATTTCTGATTGGACCGGAGACAGGAGAAGGCTTCGAGGTGAAGCTTTAGTGCTTTGCTTTTTATTGGATTAAAATAACGCCGAGTGGGACGAATCTAATACAAATCGAGACTATGCTTTCATACCACTACGGGCTGATTATTTTAGTTGATAGACAAAGCGACAGACGAAGGAGATAATGAAAATATGGAGCAATTATATTTGTTGAAACGGGTGGTCGTCATGTACACAGGAGGTAGGTTATAGACCAACTAACGGCAACCCACCAGAGACCCTTTAGTTAGTGTCTTTTTCTCCCTGCAGTCTATAGGAACCACCCACTGACTGCAACCAATAGGATCGCCCCATTCTCCCTATGTCTTCTTTGTCTATAGCTTTGTCCATCAATTCGAATGATCAGGCTGCTGTTATGAGTGGTTGTGACATTTGATCGATTTGGGATAGAGACAGATAGACCCTCCATTGGTTTCTTGGTAACGGTGGAAGCTTCTACTGATTTGAGACTTCAAAATTCAATGATTCAATAAGCCTTGTTCTTTTATTTGATATTCTGAGATTTCAAGGTGAGTAGATAATTCAAAAACCGAGGGCTATCCGCATTCAACGACAAAAAGTAAGTGGAAACAACGAAAAGTTTAGTTTCCTCCGAAAAAGCTCAATTTTTAGGAAAAATTCAACTTTTTCCTAGGATGGATTCCAAAATGGATCGTCTTCGGGAAATCAGAGGTCTTTTTTGAAATCAGCGCTAAAAATCCATCTCGCACCCATTGACACAAATTAGGCAAAGCTACATAAGTAAAAATTTGATGATCCTAGATATAACTAAGTAGGATGATGAATGCTAGCCTATGTATGGACACATGAGAGGACCCGAGGAAGCGGCGAATCAGGTGAATTTCGTCAGGTGTAGTCGCTCGCGCTCCGCTTCACAAATTATCGTTTCCTAATTTCTTGGTTAATACCAGCCGCAGCAACGGAGCCCCGAACGAGGAACCATTTCACGACCGAGACACTCAAACGTGATCACACTCGTTATCCGATAAACCCCCAAGTCTTAGTTCCAGCCATCCCTGCCAGGTGGCGCCACCCAGTCCCAACCCATCAGCATCCCAAACGCCGAGCCTCGGCACCATCCGGCAACGTCGGGACCAGGACCGACGCAGCGTTGTCAAATTGAACGGGATCACCGTGGTATCCTCGTATCCATTGGCGGTGATTTTGACTGATCTGTATCCATCGGGCGTCTTCGGTTCGCCATTCCACGCTCTATTTGCTTTTGGGAATTAATCACCCCCTCATGGTCCTATCACACGCATGACGTAGCATACACAAAAGCCCTCCCGGCGCGGCACGGCGGACCGACCAAAAAATTAAGCGGTCATTTTTTAGCAACGGAATCTCGGAGTTATTTGCCGGGAGTAAACGGTGTTGATGAGATAACTCCGCACATCGGCTCGAGATTCGACGAAGAGCGTCGGTTTTTCCGATCACCTTCTTCGGACGTTGCTGGGGCCGAATTTTGTCGGTCCTTCCACCGCACTTAAATGTACTCAGGACGAGTCTCGACCGCACTTAAGTCTGCCTTAGGACTTCTGATTGGTTGGTGATGTGGTTTGGACTCATCGATGAATGTTGGAAGAGCCTACAAAATTCGGCTCCTGACACTCCAAAATGGTACAACATAGAGTAGAGTACCCTATATCATAGTTATCATAGTTTAGAAACTACAGGAATCAGTCCCGGTTTTTTTGGAAGAGCCCATGTATTTTGCGGCCTAAAATTGGAATGGACCACTAGACAAGGTACGAATTTAATCAATCTGATACATGTTTCTTAACCAGAATTTCATATAAAACACGATTTGCACAACAAAAATTACTGAAACCAACTCCTAACGAGGATATTAACGTTTTTATCTCACATTGGTTATGAGGAATTTGAACTGCCCGCTCACAAGAAGCTCAAAGCTCCATGTGAGTCAAATCGCGCACTCCAGCGGTTTGCGCAAGCTTCTCAATCGAGCAATGTTCGTTTCCCCCATGTGTTGTTCATACTATAACAAGAAATTTACTACAACTGAGTCAAAGCGGCAAGATCGAGGTTGTCAGATTTTCATATCGCAGAGAGTGTCAAGGTAACGTTTAGCGCTTGATGTGAATCACGTAGAGCATTGAGTTTTCATGAGCGGATATAGTTCGAATTCACGTATCAAGAATCATTAAATATCTTCGTAAAGTATTGATTTCGGTAATTTTCGTTGTGCGCAACGTATTCTACGTAAAATGTTGGCTGAGAAACATGTATCAGAATGCTGAATTTCATACCCTGTCTAGTGGTCCATTTCTCAATAGGAGACTGCGAATTCCATAATTCATGTGCTTTCAGATAATTTGTATTCTCTGACGATAATTCGTTGCTTAGAACCCTTGTAAATTTAATTTACTTCAAGTAGCTAGATACAACTCAGACAGTTTCGCGGTAGTAGCGATATTTTAAAAACAACTTTTTTTAAAAAAAAAAAAAAAAAAAAAAAAAAAAACTCTTAATCTTATGTTTTTCTCTTAAATTTTACGTACATTTTAAGTCGAATATCTCAAAAAAAAGTTTCCAAACAAATTAAATCCATTAAATATCTTCGTAAAGTATTGATTTCGGTAATTTTCGTTGTGCGCATCCCGTTTTTCGTGAAATTTTGGTTGAGAAACATGTGTCAGAATGCTGAAATTCGTACCTTGTCTAGTGGTCCATTATTACATATTATATTTGTAAAGTCGGCTAATAGCTCAACTTTTGTTTTCGTCTTACGCTTATGTAGCCTCACTTCTGAACTCTGGTTTCGTGCCCGGTTCATGTTCCTGTATCATTTTCCACGAGCCGAAAGCGACAGCCGCGGGAGGGCAACCGGGCAGTGGCGTGGTGTGAATTGCGATGTATCGATTGTTATGACATTTAAACCTATGGTAAAGAATCGATTATTAAGGTGTTCGCTGCGAACACCCTGTTTATCGATCCTTTTCCATAGGATTAAATGGCATAAAAATCGATACATCGCAAAGCACGCCACGCCACTCGGGATCCGGGACGTTGGTCCAGTGAAAGTTGGTGCGATGCGCAGAGTTTTTCAAGTATTTAAGTGTGGTCAGAAATTCAGTGAGCGAGCAAAGAGCGGGTGTACAGACCAGGGAATATGATGAATGGTTCCGAACGAATGGGAATCACAAAATGAACGCTTGCGCATACTAATTGCGGATCTTCCTCAGGGTTG